CTTTTGCAACTAAGTTTTGGCCCACGGGGGAATCCTCCATGAGTATATTAATTGGTGGCTCTTACCCCCTAGCCATCCCAACTACGCTTGTAACTGGGGTATTGTTTTAATAATAAAAGTTCTTTCTTTTTTTTTAAATTAACCTGGTATTAGTTCATTTCTGTGTCCTGGAAAATCTGTCTGTGGATATCCGCATGCTTCTGACGAGGGGACAGCAATCACAGACTGCAGCTTGTATCTTCTCTTTTGTTTTCAAGCTCTTTCCCCAAAATCCGGGTATTGGGATTTTGGGGAGAACTTTTTATACCAAAGCCTGTAGAGATCAGGTTTTGGGTTGCTTTTGTGGGCTCCCCACTTCTGCATTCATCGTGCCAGAGTGGGGAATAGCCTTGACAATCCCTCCAAGCATTGCTGCTCCAGCATGCTCAACCACGGAGCCTCCAGGCCATCAGGTGTAAAGCATGGAGGCTGGGGTGCAGCAATGTGCTGCGGTTCTGAGACAAGTCCTAGAACAAGGAGAGGAGGGTTGGAGGTGCTACCGAGAGCTGATAGAGCCTTGTGTACCAATATTGCCTGGGCCAGGCTGGTGCTATCAAAATGGTCTGCTCAGTCCTTGCAGACCTTGATCAGCACCTTGGGGATAAAAGGGAAGAGGGAAACACAGAAGGCCTTTCCCCCAGTGAATTTGGAAACCACTGTCCAAAGAGCCCTTGCTGCTGCCCTGGTAGGAACAGAAAGCCCTGCACTTCCTGTTCCTCTTCATAGCAAAGGCATTCAGAGGGGGACAACCCCACATCTAGAAAGGAGCCTGCGCAGCCTCCTACTTGAGGGAAGGGTCCACTCATACAATTGAAACAAGCAGCAGAGGTTATCTGCCAAAGAATTCAGACAACCCGACAGGCACAAGGCCAGTAGGTGCGTCTTGTTGCGCACGCACAACTCCCACAGCAACATCGCCTCCTTGCACAGGGAATAGAGTGAGCACCACCCTGTCTGCTGATATAAAACATTGCTGCGGTGTTGTCCGTGCAAACCAAGACACACTTCCTCCTTATTTCACCCAAAAAGGCCAGACAGGCCAACCTATAGTTCTAAGCTCCTTTATATTTATTGTGCATTGCATATTCTGCTCGAGAACAGACACCCTGAGTCTTTAATCTGCCCAGATGCTTCCCAAGTCTGAGGCATCTGTAACCAAAGTCAGACTGGACTGAGGAGTGTGAAAAGGAAGAACCAGCCACCAGCGAAGAACCTCTATCACCCACGGTGGGACAGTTAGCACTCTGTCCAGATGGTGACGAGATGGCTTATATATGCTGGCCAACCACATCTGTAGGGGGCGGAGCCAAAGCCTAGTGAAGAGGAGGACATGGGTGCAGGACCATATGAATGGGTTGTTTCGAAGGGTCTTCTGACACAGGATGCACCTCTTTAAGCCTCTTAGCTCTGGAAAGAAGGAACCATCTGCTTTCCCACTCCTACTTCTTCTGCACCGGAGAATGGAATCGGTGCCGACAGCTAGTCTTCAGTCACCTATGGTGCCAGGATGTTTTACCTAACTCATTCCTCAGTACCAGTGCACTCCGCACCAATGAAGGCACACTGTGTACCGAGGCTGCTGATTCTGATCCCGCAGCTTGCAGCGCCAGACGGGGGGATCCAGAGACGTCTCCATTAACAGATTTTGGAGGCGGAACTCTGTCTCTTCTAGTTCTTGACCTAAAGGCACTACAGATTTTACACTTGTCTGCTAAGTGGGCCACTCCCAAACACTTTAGGGAGGACATGAGGCTCGCTTGTAGGCATAAACTTCATGCACTGTCTACACTGCCTGAAGCCAGGGAGGCATGCCCCAGGTCCCGAGTGGGGAGAACAAAAACGGAGTCTCCGCTTCGAACGTAACCACTACTTAACACTTAAGAAAAAAATAACTACAAAGAGCAGCTAGGGAAAGCAAACTTGCCCGAGGCAAGAGACTCTAGCTCCGACAACTGTCGCTGGAGGTAAGAAGGAACTGAGGGAGGATGCGGTCAGCACTCTAGGTGTCTCCGCTGCTGACCTACAGTATCCGGCTAGGGAAAATCTTCCCAGTAACTGTGCACATGGTGTATACACACATAAATTGGAATGCACGTGAGCAATCACTTGAAGAAGAATAGTTAACTAACTTAAATTTTCAGAGACATATTCTGCTGTCAATTAGATTTGTGCAATCCCATTGAAATCAATGGAGTTTGAGAGTTGAAAATTAGGAAACAGCTTGATCTGGACCATCTTCAGTAAGGATGAGGCAAAAGTCATTGAACCAGAAAAAATACAGTTTGACTTTATATTGCAAATTGAGTTTACATAGCCAGAAGTTAAAAAAACACAGTTTACTTTTAAAGTGAAAACATTTTCTCTAAAGGTAACTGAGAAACAATGAACATGTAACGACAAGTATGTGTAACTAGAAGATTTACTGGGCTGGTCCTTACCTCAATTTTTTGTTTTTGTTTTTTGGAAAAGAAAATGAAAATGCACGTTTAATTTAAATCATTGGTCTGGGGTGGGAGTGGGGATGAGGGGTTCAGTATGCAGGCTTCCCTGGGGACAATTACCCCAGCCTTCCCTCACTGCAGCAGCTTGAGGCCAAGTAAGAAGCACCTCTCCGTGGCCACTGCAGCCCAGAGCCACAGCTGGGGGAGGGGTGCATGTCATCCGGCTGGGGTAAGTCCAGATTTATCTGCCTCCTGCACTCTCCAGCCAGAGTGAGGAATGCAGCAAACTGTGTATTTTCCCCTCACTCCTTGACGAAGGGGAACAGCCAACAATGTTCCAGTATAAACCAGAAGTGCAAAAGGGTGGAGCTTCAGTCCCCCTCGGGGACTCTAATGGGTGCCTGGGGCCTGGGAGACTTGGAGCTGGGGCCATCTGAGATGGGGGTAGGGGACATGCCCCCAGTCAACGCCTTTCACCTGCTTCGTGATTCTGTCTCTTTTCTGTGTGGTTTTATGAGAAGAAATCCCATTCCAGGCACATCCCATTTTCCTGGCACAGCAAAACCCTTATGTTGTTTTAAGTTATGATAAGAGGAAGCTGTATAACAAATTTGGTGATCCAGGCTCTCACCATTTAGGCAGAGTTTCTTAATGGACAAACAGACAAACTCTCTCAAATATACAGGAGAAAGTAGATTAATATACATGGCATGAAGTACTGCTTCCTTAGCAAAAGCCTCAAAGAGAAATAAGACTTGGATATAAAGTTCAACAGGGAACATGGAAATATAAATTTAAAATGCTCCACTGATGGTAAAATTATCTTTAAAATTATAACAAATTTTAATTTTACATTATAGAAATTCTGTCATTAATCAAAAGGGCATCTGAAGTGGAGTTCTAAAAATGATCATATTTAATATAGACATAAAGACTAAGAATATTACAGTGCCAGAAATAAGTGCTAAATTCTGTTTGGAGCAAAAGACTAATAAGTAAGAGAAAATTTCTCGGCTACATTCAGTGGGACCAAGATTTTGCCTGTAGTCCTCCTGGAATCATCTCCTTTTTAAAGATCTGTGGGGCACAACAAACTGAAGGATGTCTAAATTTTTTGTTTTTCCATCATATGGAAAGTGTAATTCCTCTGCTTAGCAAAGAAGGAAAGATAATAAATGTTCACATAAAAAAAACTGAAGAGCTTAGTGATTGTTTTGCTTCAGTATTCACTGAAAAGCTTAATGATGACCAGATATTCAACACAATTAACATTAATAAGGGAGAAGGAACATAAGTCATCGTAGGGCAAGAAAATATTAAAGAATATTTTAAGTCAGTAAGGCCTGATTAAATTAATTTTAGAATACTTATGGAACAAACTGAAGCAATCTCAGAGCATTAGCAATTATCTTTGAGAATTCGCGGAGAACAAGATATCCCAGAAGACTGAATAAGGGCAAACATAGCATCTATATTTAAAAAGGGGAACAAGAAAGATCCAGAGAATTAGTGACCATTCAGCCTAACTTCAATACCTAGCAAAATACTGAAGCAATTTATTAAACAATCAATTTGAAAGCACTCAGAGGACAACACAGTTATAATGTTCAGCATGGATTTGTCAAGAAAAAATCATGACAAACCAACTTAATTTCCTTCTGTGATAAGATTACGGATCTAGTTGTTGGGGAAGCAGCAGATGTAAAATTAGGGATGTACAATTTCGATTAATTAGCTAATCGACTAGTCGATGCGATTCGCATCAACTATTCGATTAGTCGATAAGGGTGCTTCCACCAGGCTGTTGCTACACTTCAAAGGCAAAAGTGCAGGGGGGAGCACGGAGCCAGTGCATGCTCCCCGCAGCGTTTCAAAGCGGCAGCGCCTCATGAAACCTGGGGTCTGTAGAGAGTCCCCAGCTGACCATGAGCTCCACGTGGCACTGCTGGTTGAAGCACCTCATCCTATTTCCTCCCCTCCCTCCCGCTGCCTCTTTCTGATAGAGGCGGCAAGGGCGGGGGAATGACTAGTCAACTAGCGTATCAACTATCTGATAAGCATATGCTTATCAGATAGTCTACTAGTCGATTAGTCGTTCACATCCCTACATAAAATACCTTGATTTTAATAAGACATTTGAAACAGTTCCACATTACATTCTTATAAAAAAGGAGAAATATAGTTTAGATAAAATTACTGTAAGGTATGTGTGACAGAATACATCTCTGCATCCATACCCTACACACTGCTGGAATGTTTGTACAAAATATGCTTTGTAAAGTATTATTTGAAAACTCATAATTTGCTGGTTAGTATTGTCCTGATAAAATAAGTGAGGCAATTAGTCCCAGGTGAACTTGAATTGCCTAATTCCTCTTTATGAATTCTGTCAGAGATGGGCTGAGTCCCTGACCCTTTCAGAAGGCCAGCTACCCTCTAACAGTGAGACATTAGTGTTACATTAAAGAGAGAAGATTTTATTTCATTTTGGAGCTATATATTATAACTTTGAAAAAATACCTAATTATGGGTCAGGACTTTAACTACATAATGTTCTCCATATCTTCACAAATCCTCCTCATTTTCACTACAATTCCTGAGTTTCCCTGATGTCCTTCAGATACTGTTTGAAGATAGGGCATTGACTGATGTCCTGCTGCTTTTTTTTTCTGTTTAAAAAAGCAAAGGTTTGTTTGTTTTGTTCTTCCTCCAAGTGAATTAAATTACATTTTCTTTTCCTGTTCTTTGAGAAGCAGCTGAAATAACTCATATGTCCCATATCTCACAATCCATCTTTTCTACTGCAAAATAAAACATTTTGTAAAATAATTGGCTGACAAAAGGTGCAGCCTTTTTGGCTGATGTTTTTTGGAGCATGTGGCTTTTTTCTTTGAACAGCTGTGAATGCTAACATTTTTTCTAGATATCTCCAATCATACCATTAGTAATAAAGTCAATTTGTTTAGCCAAACAATGCTCTGCGCTGTCCTTTAAAACAAAAAAAACCTTCCTTTGCCAAGGCCTAAGTAAAGGGTGATTTCATATTTATATAAGGAATTAAATTAATAAAAAGGCTGTAAAAACTGAAAAGGCCAAGAGGACTCGGGGGGGAGGGGATGGGAGTGGTTGTTCCACAACTTACATAATATAACAGGGAGAGTGACGATTAATCAATACCTTCATACAATGAGCACCACAAAGCCAGCATATGAAGCGGGGAACTACGTCATTAAAGGCCAATAACAGATATTAAGGAGGGTGCCCAGGTTCCATATTTCTCAAGGAATTAGGTGTCTGAAAACAGCACACCGGGAGGCATACACCGGGAGGCTTATCGAAAAAGCTTCAAAAGCAGGGGTGGGGAACCTCAGACCTGGGGGTCGAATATGGGCCCTGGCTTACCTCGATCCAATTCCTGAGGCTAAGGTCCCCCCTGCATTGGGGAGCCTGTGCTGATGCTCTAGCACCCCACCCCACCCCACCATGGGGCTGGAGTACACAAAAATCTACTAGGCTGGGCCCTTCAAGGCTCTGGTGTGCAAAAGGAATGTGGGGAGTATCTTTTTCCTTCTTAGTCAAGCACCAGGTCAGTGAGGATTTGGTGACTTTTTTTTTTTTTTTTTTTTGCTTCTAACTTGTGTGCGGTCCCTAACCCAAAACCAGTTCCTCAACCCGTTCTTAAAAAAACCAAATAGACACAGTGTGAGATGCAAAGTATTGTCACAGACCAAAAACTTTCTATCAGAGGAAATAGAGTAGGAATAAATGTTTTCATCATGGCAAATGATGAATAGCAAGGATTGAAGGACCAGGTTAGGTCTCACATTACTGAAGGTATTTATTAGTGATCCTGGAAGGGTGTATATGTGCATTGAAGTTGCAAAATTTGCAGATGACAGTTATTTAAGTGGTAAAGTGCAGAGGGGACTATGATAAGGATGTTACATTTTGATTAATCAATTAATTGAGTAGTCGGTGGAATTTCCATCATCTATTCAATTAGTCGATAAAGGGGGCACTGGCTATCCTGCTGCTGCATTTCTGTTTGAAACGTACAAGAGCTGCCACGGCTCTTGTATATTTCAAACAGAGAATTGTAGCAGCAGGGACACCTCTGCCTCCACTACCCCTCGTGGAGATGATGCTGGGGGAACCGGCTTTTAAGCTGGCTCCCCCCAGCACCGGCTCCTGCTCCCCCTCTTCTAGAGGCAGCAAGGGGTGTGTGAAGCAACTAATCAAGTGACTACTTGACTATCCGATAAGCTTGCGCTTATCGGATAGTTGACTAGTCACTTCCATTCCTAGACTGTGAAGAACTTCAGAGGGAATTAAGCATGCTTGACGAATGGACAATACAGGCAGTCCCCGAGTTACACGGATCCGACTTATGTCAGATCCGCACTTACCAACGGGGCTTTTCTTGCCCCGGAACTCGCGGGCAGCGGGACCACCCAGACGCGCAGTGGTCCCGCCACCGCGTCCTCCGGGGCGAGAAAAGCTGCTCCGGGTGTCCCTGGTCTGCTGGGGACCCCTCCCAGCAGACCAGGGACACCCCGAGCAAAGCCGCAGAGGCGGCGGGGTCACGCGCCTCCGCGGCTTTGCTCCGGGTGTCCCTGGTCTGCTGGGGACCCCTCCCAGCAGACCAGGGACACCCCGAGCAAAGCCGCAGAGGCGGCGGGGTCACGCGCCTCCGCGGCTTTGCTCCGGGTGTCCCTGGTCTGCTGGGGACCCCTCCCAGCAGACCAGGGACACCCCGAGCAAAGCCGCAGAGGCGGCGGGGTCACGCGCCTCCGCGGCTTTGCTCCGGGTGTCCCTGGTCTGCTGGGGACCCCTCCCAGCAGACCAGGGACACCCCGAGCAAAGCCGCAGAGGCGGCGGGGTCACGCGCCTCCGCGGCTTTGCTCCGGGTGTCCCTGGTCTGCTGGGGACCCCTCCCAGCAGACCAGGGACACCCCGAGCAAAGCCGCAGAGGCGGCGGGGTCACGCGCCTCCGCGGCTTTGCTCCGGAGCAAAGCCTTGGAGGCGCGGGGCCCCGCGAGGCGAGGCACCCCACCGCTGCAGCTTTGCTCCCCGTGTCCCTGGTCTGCTGGGGGGGCGCAGCTAGTGTGCCACCCCCCAACAGACCAGGCTTTTGTTGTGGACACCTGGGGTAGAGCAGCTGGGGTGCTGCCGGGTTAGTCCTGGGGGGACCTACCCGGCAGCGCCCCAGCTGTTCTGTCCGAGGCTCCAGATTCAGCTGCTGTTTAAACTGATCAGTGGCTGATTCCAGGAAGCTGGGGGCAGAGCAACTCTGCCTAGGGCTTCCTGTAGTCAGCCCTGGTCAGTTTCAGCAGCAGCGGCTGAATCTGGAGCCAGTTCCGAGTTACGTACAAATTCAACTTAAGAACAAACCTATAGTCCCTATCTTGTACGTAACCCGGGGACTGCCTGTACAATAGAAAACTAAGCTCAACGTTGATAAATGCAAAGGATATTAGAAAAACAAATGTAAACTTTAAGTCTCCTAAATTAGTTGTAGCAACATGAAAAAGGGGATCTGGGCATAAATCAGGTGAATATTTTGGATTAAGCTGTCTTTTCACACTATCATCTTGCTGATCTGTATGCTGCAGGGATATGATGCAGTTAAAAACTACAGCTGGGTGAGAAATGCATTTCTGAGTTTACAGTTTTTTTGGTGTCCAAAAGTGAAAATCTCAAAGTTTTGCAACTCAAAATAACCAATGGTGATGGAGGAGGGTGCCAACTTCAATGTTATGATAAGTCTGTATTGATTTCAAACTTTTATTTTTAATCTTTTCAGACTAATTAGCTTAAATTTCAAAGCGAAAAACTGTTTCAAACTGGAAAAAATAGAAAATATAAAAATAAAACCAACAATTTCACCTATTAAGATTTGAAACAAACATTGTCTTGTCAATCCAATTAATTTGTTCTAACCACTCATAATATATTTCATTTTAAGTTAGAAAATGTTCCATTTGATTCCTCTCATTTACCTCATTTGTAAAATGAATGATTTTTCTTATTTGTGTACTCTGTGAAAAAACTGATGGTACAACCTCTCACTAAAATATTTGACGAAAATAGAATAAGAACAATTTTGTCTAGCAAAATTTAAATTACTTGGTTTTTGGACACCCTCCCCAATTCCACAATGAAGTGTTCTGCTGCAACAGATTCAAGAAGACACCTTATATATGTGCTTAAATGTTTGAATATATTCTTTCATCCTTGCCCTCAACAGGAAGGAGATGAATGACAATAGTGATAAAATAATCCTGACATTAAAATATTACTTATACATCATCATAGACAGAATGATGCAAAAGTGTCAGATCTAATGTTCAAATACAGTATAATAAATTAAGACGCTGATTTTTATACTATTACAAAACTATTAAGCATATTTACAAGGAGCAGGCAAAATACAGCCCATGGGCCCAAGATGCCAGATCTCTCAGGCTCCCTGCCCCACCCTCACACACCACTCAGAAAAGCTGAATGGGGGGGGGCGGGGGAAGCGGGCATGTGCTTCTTTGAATTCTGCAAGTCCAGACTGGGCAGACAGGGTGGGGAGGAGAGCCTTTTTGCATACTGCTCCCACCCCAAGAACCATCTCGCAACTCCCATTAGCTGGTTTCCAGCCAATGCAAGCTGTCTGTTTGTATGACAGGCAGCGCATGAAGTACCCCTTTCCATAGGCTCGCAGCATTCAGAGAAGCACATGGCGCCCACAGGCCATTACTCTGAGTGGCATGCACGGGCAGGACAGACAAAAAGTCTGCCTGAGGAACCTGCTGGGCTGCTGGCCTGGAGCCGCCCAGGTAAGCACAAAAGTGACTTGACATTTTTTAAATTAAGACCTGGGACTTGACTCGAAAGTGACTTTATGGACTCGAGACTCGACTTGAACTGTAGTGACTTGAGACAACTTGGACTTGACAATGACGACTTGAAGACAACACTGGCCCCCTCCCATAAAAATTATTGCCCAGCCCAATGACTAGTGTTCCTGAACCCTTTGAAATGTTTATTTAAAATGAGGAAAGTAGTATATTCTATAAATTACCATTTAATCAGAGGAAGTTTTTCTATATCCCTATGAAATACATTTGACAATCAACACATATGCAGCCCTGTCCATCATGTTTAAAAGTCTGAGGAATAAGGCTGTAAATTTTACACCTTAGAGACTAACATGCCCTTCTTCATAAGAGATGAGATGAGCTCCACTTCAGCTGGGTGTTGCCCAGGAAAGCTCATGACACTATCCATATGTTAGTCTCTAAGGCGCTACAGGACTACTCAGAGCTTTCTATCGTGTGAGTTTAGCTCTGTGCTGGTTATTTTTTCATGCCATGTAAACATGCAGCTGCCCTCAATTACCCGTAAGGAACGGGGTCCCTAGCCTCTGTCAGCGCGTGGAGATGGATGGCAGGAGAGAGATCGCTTGATCATTTCCTCTTAGGTTCACTCCCTCTGGGGCACCTGGCATTGGCCACTGTCTGCAGACCGGACACTGGGCTGGATGGAGGTTGGTCTGACTTGGCCGGTCTTATGTACCAGGCACAGTTCCTCCAGCGGCGCATGCACACGAGAGACCAGCACCAGCAAGCCACCCCATCGGGCAGAACTGCAGACCGGACACTGGGCTGGATGGAGGTTGGTCTGACTTGGCCGGTCTTATGTACCAGGCACAGTTCCTCCAGCGGCGCATGCACACGAGAGACCAGCACCAGCAAGCCACCCCATCGGCAGTATATGTGGGTGAGGATCACGACACTGTCCTTTGGGGACTGGCACACAGAGGAGGTGGTCATTCAGGGAAAGGGAGAGGAGGGTAAGTGCTGAGGCAGGACTGGCACAGTGAGT